CACCATGATTATGATGATGATCATCACCAACATCACCAACATCATCCATCATCATTATCATTATCAACATTATCATCACTACTCCCATGAGCATCATCATCATCATCATCATGTATCATTGTCACCACCATGATTATGGTGATGATCATCACCAACATCATCACCATCATCATCATTGTGATTGAGTTTATATAATATCAAGACAGGTTTCAGCAGGTTTCTTCTGCCATTATCCAGCCAATACTAGGTATTGTCTTATCACATCTTATTACCATTGGATGATGATAGAAATGCTCTTTCTTTAATTCATTTTATCTTCATCAATCAATTAGCTGACTAATTTAATGTACCTCTTCATATAATGTACTAGAGAGAATCATAGAAGAGAAAAAAGACTACTACTTGTAGTCAGGAAGGATGGGAGACTGCTGAATGACAAAATGAAGCTTTACCGAATGAATGTGTTGCTATACCATAATGTAGTTAGATCAATTTGTCATGCTTAATCAAAGATGACTATGAGAGCAGGAAATGATCTGATACATATAGAACTAAAAGGTTTGTATTATATATGTTCCATTCTTGATGACAGCTGCATGCAAATGTACCCCTACCCCACACCCCCTAGTTAAGGGCCCCAGGAAATCCTGAGAGTAAGGATTGAAGCAGAATATCCTGGAAATAAATATGGTCAAAGAGTGATTAGGAGCCAGAAATACTATTGTTTGAATCTAGGTGCAGACACTAGACATCAAAACATGTTCTAGCATAAAACACTAAAATTTCATACACTTGCACAGTAACTTAGAATGCCATCTGACTCCCCTAAATCATAGTATTTCATAAGATATCTGGCTTAAGTTTCAAGGATATTTTACATGATAATAAGATTTAATATCCACTTTGCTCCAGAACATTAGCCAATGAGCATGCATTTGCAGTCAATTTGGTAATATTCTAAAACTTGGACAATGTTTATTCAAAACTGAAATCCATTAATAAAATTACAGCAAATATCTCAGTCTTAAAAGCATTAAATATTAAATTGCTGGGATCCTTTTTCTTGCCTGCCATGATGCATTCGAACCGTACTTCAAAATGACATGATACCAAAATTAATTATGGAAAATATAAAAGGAATCCATAGAAAACTGTTTTAGTAGAACCTTTTTATTAGATATAAATATATAAATATATAAATATATATACTTTCTTACTCTCAAAAAACTTAGGTCTCTTTTGAATAATGAAATGCTAAATATTGTAAATTTTAATATCAACGCAGTCACTGGTATCTGGTGACAGCATGTCACGTTAGTCCCTTGCCAGGACTCACAGAGGAAGCTTAAAAGTGTCGGGGCTGTATACCATTTTTCTACATTTTCTATTCTGGCTTAGAAAGGAGTAGTGAGGCTATCCCCTTGGCCTCCATTGCCCTGCTAACAGTATAGTGATAGTACTAAAATATTATTATATTCAGCTCTCATTTTCTTGAATCCATCAATCTTCAATTAAGCTTATATCTATACTCTGAAACAAACTCTTCACTTTTGTGAATGAAGGGCATGCTAGGAAACCAGAAGAAACACAAATGCTACTTGCGTGTATGCTGAGCCAAGGAATCAAACACATATTGATGTAACCACAGAGGTTAAAGGCAAGTGCTCTACAGCAAATTTAACCTTGATTTGTTGTATCAGTAAAGAAAAGTAAGCTTTCAGTTTGAGTGGTGAAAAAGAATAAGAGAAAATATAATTTACAGAAGAACTGGTCAAAAATGGTCTAGAAAATATATAAGGTCAAAAATTGACAAAAAATCATTGAACTAAATATTGGAATAAAAGATAATGTATTTTTACTAGCGGCTAACTGAAATTCCGTTAACCAGGTACGATATAAGATGTTTTAGGGATTCCGAAATAAGTACTAGCTATTGAAACAATAAATGACATCAAAGCTTACGACGAAACATGAAACCTTAAATTTGACAAGAACTGACGAGAGGAACAGATTCTACTGTGTGTGACTGTCATCTCAAAATTAAACACCTCGAGCATTATATTTAACGCTAAAACATACTCTAAGTCCTCATGAATTTGCGATTTGAGATAAACAATTCGATCAGGTTGTAATAGTAAAACAATATTTGAAAATGCTTCGGAAGTATTTTTGATCTTATATATATAATTAAAAAACTTGGAGAGCAAATAAATGAAACAACCACTTTGGTTGCTAAGCACTCTTGCGACTCTACGTAGCACGTCAACGAAGAACTTCTAATTAATACCGTTTTGCTTTTGAATATCGTTAAGACTCCACTCTGAAAGCCATTATTAGAAAAGAGTAGAGATGATGTGACGGATAGTTCTAGTTTATCGTTGTCGTTGGTAACCAAAACACACAGTGTTTTCTATATAGTGAAAGCGAGCCAAAACAAATGGTTTTCTCACTTTAGCATCATGAATGGTCGAAAAATTTCCCTCGAATAAAAGTGTGAAAATCGATTTAGGACTTCATATTGAAAAGGAATTATTTTCTAATTCTAGGAATACCATAACAAAGAAATGAGGTTGTTGGGTTTGGTTCATTTAGTACGCTCGGTTTAAATACTCCAAAAACCGCAACAAAAAAAGCAAATATCATTAAACAATTTTTTTTCCTTCGACAACAAAATCTGTATGAAAATAGCATTTATTGATAATACAATAATCTCTAATCAGATGTTGAATAGAGTTGATCCTGGTATTCTGTGCCCTAATACAAAATACTAGAATAAGGTTGTTTCCGGGATATGCTCGGCTGGCTGGCACACATAAACATCGTAAAGGTTATAACATTTCCTATCATTTGTCACGTACCTTTAGTTGATCTTGTTCACCGGCATATTCAATGCTTTGAAAAATCTTCCAGGTACATCGCCTTCGTGCTTCGAGTCTCGCTCGATAGCGCCGAAACCAGTTTTGAATTAAGATCGCTGAACGTAGAGCTGAAAAATCAAATAAAATTTCGTTACTGTTCATATATATTTAGGTAAATATGCTAACTACACAGACTTCGAAGTTGTGCTCGGGAAGGTTTTTAGCATTATGGTACACACACGAAAGAGCATGCAGTAAAATATAACAGTAATCAAAGACAAATAACAATAAAAAATCTTACTTGTTTGGGATTTGGAAGATGTTGAACCTGAATGATCAAACTCTGGTTTTCTATTGTCGATCTTCGTTGACCCACAGCCCATGGTAATAATACTCCTAAATCCTATTACCAGCGCAACTAGCGAATATCGTCTTCCATCACGTATTTCATAGCGCGGTGAAAAAAGTCTAGATTTCAAAACTGGAGATACGAATTTGTCCAGAGAAGTTAAATACTCTTATAAATTGTACGCATTGACGAGTATTTCCCGTCTAAAACCATTCGTGTGTTTCCCGCCAAACACTCAAATGGCTTCCAGAATAAAAACGATGATCCTTCGTGGCTTGTGTCGAGAGGCCCAAGAGGTTCAGTTGTAAACTTCGATGTGTTTTTTAAACATAAAAAATGACCCTGCTGCGAAATTAGAAATGTGTTTGTGAAGCTTGAAGCCGGTGAGAAGAAAAACACGTCTCTTGCCTCTGTTGCTGTCTGCTTGGCGTAAGACAGACTCAAATGAGCCCAACAAGTGTAAGTACCGAAAAGGTCACACGTATAGACCTAGGTAAATGACTGTTAACAAATGCGACGATTGAGATCGATCGAACGTACAAGCAGGCTCAAGCAACCCGTAACACCATTGACACTAACTTACACTCATAATATATAAATAGAACACCAAGGTTTCCATGGCAACTAAGTCAAAATGATGTCTAAAATTGCAACATCATAGCCTTGCTGAAAAGAATGACAGAAGGACGAATAATTCATAATTCMTCTTTGAATTTCTTCTTTGGATTTGAATGTCTAAGCTAGGGATTTTGATAATTACAAATCTTTATCTAAATATTCTATATTCATATACTGAGGTAATTGCACTAAAAGCACTAAAAGCACTAAATCTCTAACCCTTTTTGTGAAAGTGTTTTTCTTCCTTGTTCGTGTTGGGGGGGGGGGGAGAACTTCGTGCCAAAAATTGACCAAACTTGTTTGATGGAAGGGTGTTTTTATTAAAAAAACAGAGACGATTTTCGATTGGTCGTGCTAGAACATGAAAGTGATATTGCGCCTACTACATAGCGGGAGATTGCTCGATAATAAAGTAAGACTCCGACTCTAGTTCTGGAGGAACATGAAAATATGTCGATAGAAAGATAAAAACATATAACTACTTAGTAACAAATAGATAATGAATTAAATATTAACTGCAAAGTAAATGAAAGCCTCGCTACAGCAAGATAATAAAATTCGCAACGTTTTATTACCATGGCGTCTATGTAAAAGAGCTTACATTAAACAAAACAAATAAAATGAAAAGAGTAATAAGAAATGCAAAGCAGTTATTTGACCTTGGTCTCTAACTACACACAGACTGTTTAGTGTGTTGCTATGGTAACGGATAACTATCCCGAAGTACTATACAGGGGCGTAACCAGGGATCTCGCAGGGGAGGTGCACAGCCAATGATTTGCAGAACCCACTGGAAAAAAAAGGTAGCCAAAGAAAACTTCCAGAATCCCCCTCCCCCTCCCCCCTCCCCCCCAAAAAAGGGGGAAAAAAGGAATAATGGGTGAGTGATTCTAAAAAATGCTATAATATGCAGATGGCACATTTATGCAATTTTAAAGCAAAAGAAGATGGATGAGCGGACCTTAAGCTTTTATGGGGAGGGGGTGTACACCCTGTGCTCCCCCCTGATTACGACCCTGCTATAGTAGACAGACAGTTACTGTACAGGTCCATATGGTCTGTCATCTTATATTTATATATTGTTCAGGTGCTTTTCGTCTTAGGAATATATTTACTTTTCTTTTTCATTACGGATGACCATTTTCCTTTTTTAATCTCTTTTTTGATGGAAGGTTATTTTTTGGCTGTTTAACTGTTCAGCTGGACGGAATCGTGACATTTTAAATGTTGAATGTTGTTAAGAAAAAGACAATTTACTTTTTATCATTTAAAAACAAGCTGATTAACATCGGTGGAGTGAATTGAAAAAAAGTCGATATTGGGCTACCTGTGTTTCTTTTTTGTCAAAGAGGAAATAAATCCGTAAAAAAAGCCGTGTTGCAAAATATATTCGTGGTAATGACTTCTTCATTCGCGTTTCAAGATCTCAATGACGAATTCGTTCGATTAGTGGATCCTGAAGGCTTACTTTGCTTCGTGGTAGAAATCTTGATCTATATATACTTTTGCACTCAGTTTTGTTGCCTATTTTGGTTTTCTCTCGCTGATAACGCTTTATCAATAACACAAAAAATAACGATTGTTATACATTCAGAAATTACCAGAAAAGAAAAAACATACTTTCTATATTCATGAAATCCAGTAAAGAATATTAAATTAGTAAAGATCGTTTTCAATCCATGTAAACTTAATGACAAAGAGAGTTTTCTTTCTTTTATCATAACATATGTCAGTATTTCCCTAAATGTTCATGGCAATTTCAATCTCATTTATTCAAGATAAAAAATTCCATTCAAAATTCATTTCTGTGAGCACTTAATGTGACGACGGGTATCCGGTAATGTTTTGATGGTAACTGGTGATAACCATACATGCTATCAAACACACACACACAAAATAAGAATAAATAAGTAATTAACAAAAAACATTTTTAACCGTTTAAAATAGTATTGGGTCATACTTTTGTTTTGTTTTTCTATTTTCTTTCTATTTTTCAATCTCTCTTGATTTAGTTTTTCTTTTCTACTTTTTTTCATTCTTTATTTATTTACTCTTTTCCTGTCTCTTATTCATTTCTCGTCTGGTTATGACTATTTTTCCTTTTCCTCAGTCTTGTTTTATTTTTTATCTTGTACGAGTTTCCTTTAGCTGACATGTTTTTCCATTATTTTACGGACATACGCAGATAAACCAATACGAAGAACATATATTATTCCCAAATCGTATTACTATAATCCATATAAACTGTGCCATATCACCATTAAGCACCCAAATCTACCAAAGTAAGACTATTTCGTGAACTAAATCAAGTCATAAGATTTTACCTTACGATCGTCTAGTGATAGGATAAAAGGATTGCAGGATTAAAAAAAGGCAAATGATTGATTATAGTCTTCCTGTTTGTGCTAAGGAAAGTCTTAGTCTTTCCAAAACTGTTCTAATAAATATTACAATCTAGGTAAATAAAACAGACGGGAACGAACTATTTTTGGATGTTGGTACTGTGACTCTCAAATGGCTTCCACAGACTAGCGCCATGATTGGATGTTTGTACTGGCTCTCAAATGGCTTCCACAGACTAGCGCTGTTATTAGATGATGGTACTGTGACTCTTGAATGGCTTCCACAGACTAGGCCGTGATTGGATGTTGGTACTTTGACTCTCAAATGGCTTCCATAGTCTAGCGCTGTTATTAGATGTTGGTACTGTGACTCTCAAATGGCTTCCATAGTCTAGCGCTGTTATTAGATGATGGTACTGTGACTCTCGAATGGCTTCCATAGTCTAGCGCTGTTATTTGATGATGGTACTGCGACTCTCGAATGGCTTCCACAGTCTAGCGCTGTTATTAGATGTTGGTACTGTGACATTCAAATGGCTTCCACAGTCTAGTGCTGTTATTAGATGGTGGTACTATGACTCTCAAATGGCTTCCACAGTCTAGTGCTGTTATTAGATGGTGGTANTCAAATGGCTTCCACAGTCTAGTGCTGTTATTAGATGGTGGTACTATGACTCTCAAATGGCTTCCACAGTCTAGTGCTGTTATTAGATGGTGGTACTATGACTCTCAAATGGCTTCTAGTTAGCGCTGTGATTGGATGGTGTGCGCATTTAGCATTCAGTATCGAACGTACCCCCTCTTCCTTCATGGTGAGAGAGGGATTATGTACAACTAAAGCCCTGAGGTTCACTTTCCCAGGATAGATAGAGTATCAGTCTTAGGATCTTGTCTATCTGGAGCACTCGGTTCATCTGTTCATCACACCTTGAGGCTACTGAGATTCAATCATAAGATATACCTTAATTTTCCTCCTCAGATGTACCGTCTACATTTATCCAAGCAGATTGGGTGCAGCAGGGAAATACGCCAAGTACTTGGAAAGGCTTACTATACCACAGCCAGCCCAAGCAGTGTTTAAATAGCTTGGGTCTGATTAKCATTTTCGGAGCTATTTTGAGGAATTCTTCATCGCTGAGTTGACTTTTTATGGACGAAGGAACAAAATAAATTTGAAAATAAACACGACAATTAAGGTTTCCTATCACTTTCTAATATAAGCAAGCAAAAAAGACGCCATATAAGTATTAAAGCGTTCCCTAAGAGAGCCCCATGATGCAACGCGTTCTGCAACCTTCGAAAGACTAACATCTCTCTAAATAGCTTAGAAACTAGAAGGATTTAAACCGCAAAAATAATGCTTGTGATGCCTGCAGTAATTCTACCCCTTACATGATTCAAATCCTTTCCAGCATTTCAGCCATACGCATAGATTATTATATTATTTTAACTCTACTATTTATCTACATTAGGTATTTATTTTCGTTTCAATATAGTTCAGGATGCTTCGTTTAGAAATAAAAATTGGACAAGTGTTCCCTATAACCATACATTATTGGCAAATTGTCAACACTTTTGAAAGCCAATAATTCTGGTTCTTTTCTTCCAATCAGATTCAAATTTGTCAGACTTACTAATGTTGAGACGCTTTCTCAAATGACAAAAGTTTTTTTCCAATAAGATTAAAATTCAAAACTCGCCCCAGTCTCTTGCTCGTTTCTAAAGTGGCTAATTGACAGTCGTGTTATGAATGGTAAACATAAAAACTATTAAAACTGATTGCACCCAATTAATTTCCTCCCTAAAATGTGATTCTTAATAAATTAATGTCTAATATAGGCTCTTTGTTTCTATCTCATGCCATTATGACGCACCAACACGCACACGGTCGCACACGCACGAACACGCACTATCGTTTCTTTTTCTTAGTGGTAACGGCTGGTTGCGGAACGAATATCACTTCACCAAAACTAAAAAAATTCTTATAAAATAACAACCACGACCAAACCACACCAACAGCACAGTAAACCGACGTGAAGAGAAGAGGCAAGAAAGGAAGAGCTGAACCCATCGGTGTTAGATGATGTACAATGGAGTTATAGAATTCTAGTACAGCTAGTCCACTTAGGTACATGGCCTCGTAAGGTGCCACTAAAGGAAGAGTAAAGATATCGGAAGAGGTTGGCTTGCTGGTTGACTTTCCGCTGCAAAGTAAAAGAAACCTTTTTAGATTTTATAACGGCTTGTTCAATAGCTTCTGTCTGCCTGATTCATTGTTTTGTGAACTGGACTGCCATACGCATACGATAGAAGAGTATGTACAGGAAAAACAGTTTCTTTGATATATGAGTAGAAAGGACATCGAGAGTATGGAAATTAATTTAGTTTCCAAGTGCGTTACGAATAACTAACCACTTCTTATCATTATCTTTTCGCTTAATTCAACTATCGATATATTTTCCACTTCAGAAAGTCATATAATTAGCCAAGTAGTCTTCTAGATGTGAATATTTAGTGGATACTTGCCAACCACCAACTAACCACTTAGAGTGATTTTCATATGACCGTGAAAGAAAATAGACCATTTAGTTTGTAATAGTTGATAAAGAACAAAAGAAAATCATTGGTTTAGAGTCTACTACTAACTATTAGTTTGCCTATTCTTTCACGGTCATATGAAAACGACTCTATTGCCCATTTACCAAACACCCACCGCACCCACCAACAAAAACAATTTGCCAAAAACTATCAATCATCTGAAGACCACCTGTACGTAGACCTGTACGTAGACCTGTACGTAGACCTGTACGTAGAGGTTAAATTATTGACAACATTTTTTCGCTGTATTTTAGGGTTTTTTGTCAGCAGCTGGAGCCGGAAAAACTCAATCAAGAAACACATTACTAGGGGAGGTGGTCGGGTCGGCCTCAACTGAAGTGGAAATCTAATATAACGCACTAATCCCATTTCTAGATGTGTCTTTGAATCATTAAAAAATACCATTGACTTGTTGGGAGAAAAATGTTTCTGCTAGCGGTCTACAGTATCATAAACCGCAGTAGCAATGGGCCGTACCATATAGGCCTGTCTAACTATTATAATAATAACTATTGCAAACATTAGAATACAATAGACACTCACCAGTGCACGAGACAAAGAGAATAAAATGCCAATATAGTGAACATCATCATCAGACAAACTTTTAGTGTAGTTTCTGAAACATAAACAGGGGTATGTTAGTCATAGACACAAGGCAGGGACACGGCACGGAACTGACCATGTACTTTCAACCAATCACAGTGCACGAGATCGTTGATCAGGCCGCATGGAAACGCTACTTCATCAGTAATTTTAGTTGCTGTCACGTGACCCTCATAAAATAAAGTCCCTATTCTATTCACCAAACTCTTATTTTGTGCTTAAAATTGAATAATTTCGATAAAGGTCGAGCTTTTCTGATTGTAGGAGTGGTGTGGCGATATTCCCAAAGCTAATGGGAGCATGCGCATTTTAATGGGGCTAAAGGTCTCACCAAAAAAAAAACACAGCAACATTAGAGAGTTTAAGATTCTCGTTTACGGCAAACGTGAAACATCAGTTGACCATTAAAATGTTCTTTAAAATTAGTGAAAAGGAATCGCAAAAATCTCAAAAGTAGTAGATAAACAAAAGAATATTTGTCTTTGTCGAGAAGCTTTGCTAAAGGTAAAGTGAAATGTAGGGAAACGATGAAAACGTGGTCACGTTTACCGTTTGCGGGAAGGAAAAACGGGAATCTTAATCTGATTATTCTATGATCATTCCCTCGATTTTGATGTCCCCTCCCCGTGCATTTATTAGTTGAATCGAGATAAATGGTTGATTTACCTTCAGGACGAAAGAGTAAAGGAAACAAAGATAAGTGTCCAGCTGAAGCGAGAATCAGATAAACACGTGCATCCCGTCTGTCCTGCACAGCAAGAAGGCTATCAAAATAACAAAACAAAGATAACTATAGACTTTTATATATTAAACACATTAATTAGTTTTTGAGATTTATTTTGCAATAGTATTTGCCATGTCAGAGTATTGCAGGAAACTGATAACACTGTCATTACATGGCATTTCTTCCTTCCTTTTTTGTTTTTGTTTTTGAAACTGATTTCAACATTCTTCAATTAATGTCCTTGTCAATTAAGGCGTTCAGTTGTGTGTGTGGGAATTATTCAAAACGAACCTCCCCAAGTCATTTATATATACTGGTTGACAAGCAGGGATAGATTAGGATCAGGGGTGTAATATGAGCCACTTACACTAGACACTACTCAACACAGGTGCCAAATACAAACCTTCTTCATCATCAACTTTGCCCTTCAATCCTCCCCCTGCATCTCCCCCTCACATGGTCTAATCCACCATACCTTAGTGGGATGATTATCATTGACTTTGCCCTTCAATCCTCCCCCTGCATCTCCTTCTCACATAGTCTAATCCACCCTACCTTAGTGGGATGATAATCATTGACTTTGCC